CACAGAGTATTTTTGCAGAAAAATAATTGTAGCGAATTCCAGAGATTTTTCTAACGTGAATCATAAGTCCATCCTTCGGATTGCTCAATTTATTCATGGAAGTACATCACCCAGTTGAAATATGATGGTGATGACTAATTGTATGGTATCCCTACCCCAACTTTTCTTATACAGAAATCAAATGTTTTGCGTTAGTCGCTGTGGCGTTGCTCATGATTGGATATAAAACAGACTGTAAATATTTATACAGTATTAAATTTCAATCRGTTGAGTGAATCTATCGCTGTATGCTCGATATTCCGCTAACATTAGCTTTAGTATACCAACCTACGCCCCACAGTCATCGCTTAAACCAAAAAAATGGAGACTCTGAAGGGATATTTGATCCCAAAACCATTCAGCAAGTATGGATACATTGTTGCCGTTGCGAATTTAGTTGCTGGATTCATTGTTGGAGTAATAACCAGTATCAGAAGGACTGAAAGAAGAAACTTTAATTGCATCACTGATAAAGACTTCTTGACAACAAGATGTTTCAACCAATACGAACAAGATTACAATTCTTCTCTACCGCTGTATGGCTTTGCTTGGCTTACTTTTGGTAGTTTGGTTGTTGTTTGTATTATTTATGGCTGGTGTTTAGCGAAATCTCGAGTAGAAGAAATCGAACGACGTTGCACACCAACTCCTGACAATCCTCGACCAATTCCAATCAAGACTCGCCGTATTTTCTGGTATTATTTATCCCAGCTACTGTTTCRATTTKGTCTTGGGACTATCTTTGTTTTTCTTCAACTGACAGGACTCCAAGCGCTTAATTTCCCTTCAGAATTTCAGTGTCGAACGAATTCAAAAGRAACAARTATTGCAATTGTAGACTTGAATGGGACATATTCTAATTCGTCAGTTAATATTCTGAACTGTGAGAACTCATTTGCCCGAGAGAAGACTTTTTGGGCAAAATTAGTGTTGACTTTCCACATAATAGTTGCAATTCTTGTGTTACTGGAAGCATTGTGTATTATTGCAAGAGCTTGTCGCAACAAGAACTTTACGAGAGACTCTGACTTTTGCCAAAGGTATCTTGTCAGTAATACAACAATTTCTTTATCTCAAATGGATTTTGGAATG